AGAATCATACCATTTGGGCAATTCCACGATTTGTAAGAATGTATCGAGCATGAATGAGACCATATAACATTTCAGCTGCCTGTTCTATAAGATCACTTTGATTTGGATTGTCTTCAAGTTCATCATCTAAAAATGAAAATCAAAATGTTTTAATCAATCATTCAGGCAAAAATACAGGAGGAAGGTCAAAGTGACAAACAGAAGATGACATTAAACTTTTCTGTAATAGGCAATATTCTCAACCTCTAATGTTTCAACATGTTTCTATTGTAATTAACCATTTAAAAAATTAGATTTTCAAACATAAGATGAATAAAAACAATCCTCTGATTTTATTTGTTGACGTGTTGAGTAATAATTAATGTTATTGCAATACCAGTTAATATAAATATCAAAAAATCCAACTGACAAAACTTATATTTAAATGGGCTAGCTGAAACAAATATTTTAATTCTACATAAATTATAAAATTCTCAAAATATTGTGAGCAACAAAGTTCTTGTGAAGTTGGATATTTATAAAAATTTCTTTTTAATACAGAGACTAAAAATCCATATATTTTGTTAAGGATTTTCAATCTTTATCTTACAAATCTGATATGTTTTTAAAAATGATCTATGATTCCTGTTTTCAGCTTGAGCATTTAGCAGAAGATAGAATAAAAGTGATCAGATTAAAACAGAGGTTGAATTAGCAAGAGTATACTTAAAAAAGAAATATGATCAACACAGGAATAAGAAGTTTAATTTTATTTATAATGCTAACAAAATTACAGTCAATCATTTACAGGATCAATATATCTATACTTTTGACAGTGTCATTCATTGTTTACATTGTTTTGTCAATAAGATCTTCCAATCAGTTAACTCATATAGATTAATGTAAACTAAACTATTGAATTGAAAAGATGTGCAGAAAATTAAAAAATTTTTTTGAAAATATCTTTAAATTTATTAAATGTTTCTTATAATATCAATTCAATGTTGAGAATATCATTTTTTTCACACTTTTTCAATTGTGTTTGTTAATGTATGTTTGATAGTTTCCATCCCCACACTAATAATGGTAAAAAAAAAAAAATGTTTAAAAACATCAATGAAATATAATAATTCAAGTAAAGATTCTTTCTTAATGCATTTTATTTATCTACAGTCAATCAATTCCTGCTCATTACTGCAATGATCTTGTTTGGCTTCTTTATTTGATTAAAGCAATTAGTTAATCCAGTGATTATTTCTGTCTTACGTAGTTATAAACTGCATTATCAAAACATATAAAATATTCTTTAAACAGCTTATTAATTTTTTATCTGTTATTTTGAATTGAAATCAATAATAAAGAAAAGCATCATTTAAACCACAAATATAAGTATGATTTATAATTTTTAGTTAATAATAACTAGATACATACTTTTACCTTTATCGGGAAAACATGATACATTAGAGCATTAATGATAAAAATCTGATAGAGAATTAGGTAACTAATCAAAAATTCAGTTAGTTCACAAACAAGTTTTAGTTTTATTCTATAAACAAATAAAAACGATTATTATATATGTTAAAAAAAATACATACAAGGTCAAACAATTTACTTAAAATATAGTAAACCTCTGCTAATTTTGGACTTTGCATAACTGACAAATTTTTTCAAAACAGTAATTTAAAATTTCTTGACAAAATTAGAAAAATTATAATTAATGAGTGTTTTTGGTATCTGGAAATCCTTGTAATACTGTGTAAATTATTATAGTTAATAAGTTACAAAAGACTGTACATTGCTTACATTGTACTGTCATGAAATATTTTGAGCTCATTTCTTATAATAATAAATTCAGCAGTGTAATCTCAGCTCAGTGAAACTTCTGTATAGAGCTGATTGTAATAAATAACTGTCCTGTATATCCACTTTGTTATTTTCCACATTATTGGGGTTCCCACTAACTTGGAATTTCATAAACTCAAACAACCTTCACCTCCTATTAGTCTAAGTTGGCAGGGGTTTACTATAATATTGTTGTTATAAAATAAATGTATAAAATTACACAATAATTTTTCACACAACTTATTACTATTCCACAGAAGACTTAATAATTACAGATATAGAAAAGAAAAAAATTTTTTGTTCAAAAAATACATTTCTAATAGTTAAAAAATCTAATCAACTTTCTTTAAATATATTTTTATAAAATTTTACACACCTGGTTCTAAATCTAAAATCATATCTAGAGCTTGTCTGTAATGCGGAACTTGCTCGCTAAGTCCTGTCAAATTAAATTTATCTTGAATGTAATCTTCATCAACCTACGAAAAAAAAATGTTCTCTTTTAAGATCAAATAATAATTAATAGAATGTTTGTTTGTTATAAAAATTATATTATATATATAAAATAAAATTTTATGACGAAAATATATAATAAAAGAATAATATGTAATTTATCGTGACTAACTGGAATAGTATTGATAAATGTTGTACTAACTGAAACATATAATAAATGCTAATTAATGCAAAAACGAAAAATAGTTGATTAAAAAAAATACGTATTTAATTCTATGATGTTATATTAAAATATTAAATAATTTTAATATTTTGTTTTTTAAATATCTTTAATATTTGATGGCTGAATGGCTACAGTAGTGAAGCATCAGCCTACCACTCGGGAGCACAAGATCAAATCTGGGTGTGCAAGTCCAGGAATTTTTCACGGCAGTCTGGTTTTAGATATGTCAAGCCCAATCTCTTTCCGTTTGGTCACCCCCATTGTGAGCCTGTCTGAATCTATAATGGCTACAGTAAAAACACTTTCTCAGTGTGCACAGATCAAAGTTAAAAGTATATATACATATCTTTATTATTATTTAGCTAAAAATGCAGATTTTACAGAGACATTTTCTTATAAAAATTTTTTACTCATCCTCTTCAGATAATTCGCAGCTTTTACTTGAGAAGAAACTGAATGATAGTCTGAAGAATGTTTTCTGGTAAATATATCACTTTGATTTTTTATGACTTATTCTCTTCATATAATTTAAATAATGAATTAATTATACTTCTACAATATCTATTTTTATTTTAAATGAATTATGGAATTTTGCCAGTTCATTTATTGCATTTTTTTATAAGTTAAATTTTCCAGAAAAGAATATATTTATTGAAATGTTAAAGTTGATATTTATCTCTCTCAATAAAATATATTCAGGAATATAACTATGCACAATGAAAGAAGAAATATAATTGACATTCTTCAAAATAAATTTAAAAAATTAGACAAAACAACAATAACTGTTCTTTGTTTAAAGTTTATAAATATTAATGTGAAAGTACTATTAATAGTCTGACAAAATAGTTCTACAGTAAATAGCTTTAAGCATTAGAAAAAAAATCAAATGCCACATTATTATAGAAATCAAATTTATTAATGGCATCATTTATTATTTGTACAGTAATCTTAAATAATGATAAATTATATATAACTAGTAGCGTAAAGATTCTTTCTTAATGCATTTTATTTATCTACAGTCAATCNATTGGTCTGCAAATTGACATATTGGAAAACACTGACTTGAATATAAATATATGATGGAGTGCTGAAAAGTTTGCGATTCTTCCTAGAAGAAGAGAGAAATTTGATAAGCCAAATATATTTTATTCAACATAATCACTCCTCAATTCTACATACTTATTACAATGTTCCTTCAAAAAGGACAAACCCTCTGCAGCCTTAATGACCACCTGATCAGAAGCAAATCGTCCCTTAAGGTGTTTCGTTAAAGCTGGGAAGAGATAATCTGAGGTGGTAAAATCCAGTAAATAGGCTAGATGATCCAACAATATGAACCCAAAATACTTGCTTTTTTGCATAGTTGGAGGACTGTGTGGGCAAGGACATTGTCTTGCAGAAAAAGCTTGCCTTGACTCAGTCTCCCCTGATGTTTAGTGCACAGCTCATTTGTTATTTTGAAATGTACCACACATTTCTTCACCACTAAGGGAAAAGCAGTCTTATCCTAGAGTTGCTAGCATCTTAGAGTGAATCATGTAAGCTCCTTTCTTTTTCAGGAACAACATGACCACAGACTTATCAATGTTGCTTAATTATAGTCTTGGTGCAGCCATCATGAATTCAAATTGTCAAACTAAGCAAATTATTGGTTGTAATGGACTCTTATGGTATGGCGAAAGCAATGACAAATTCTTTCTATTATTCTTGTAGTGTGGCTTTTGCTGTCACGTCGGGTAAAGTTACAAACTTTCCACCACTTCCATATATTAAACATAAGTTATATGTAACATTTTAGGTGAAATCATTAAACTATGGAAATTACACAAGATGATTTTTATTTACCTTCCAATTTACACAGTTATATTTAGAACTGCTTTTAAAAATTCTGTATAATGCCAATAAACAAAATGATGTATATCATGATTACATTTTCTAGATCTGATGCATATTCTGTATTTCAACTGGTTTTTTGTAAAAAGGCAATAATTTAGAAAAAATATTTTTTCAAAAATAAATTAGATAAAATAATCCTTTCCAAAGTACAGTCTTATTATTTCTTTAGATTTTTAAACAAATACTTTTTCCTTTTTAAATTAGAAATCAGAAAGAAACTAATTACTATTTGTCATCAAATTTTCTTTTAATTACAAAGGCTGTAATGTCTTCAATTTCTTTTTCGAAAAATACAAATCCAAGATATTTTTTCTAAATCATTTTTTTACCATATATTAGATTAAATGCACAGAATACTTACTATTATTTAATTACTGGTTGCATAAAAATCTAAAATATTAATCCTATTATAAAACAAAAATTTGTTAAAATTCTGATAAATATTTACTCTTTTGAAACAAAAATCAAATGTAATTTTGTTAAATTAATTTACTGAAGTTACATTAATTAATAGTAATAATAATGATTTAACATTTTAAAAGAAATTTTCAAATATAATTTTATCTTTTGGTAACATTTAGTACATTTTTCTATTGGTGCATAATTGGTGAATGCAGTAATGAAGGAATTTGAAGAGAAAACCTGTATAAAATTTGTTCCAAGGAAAAAAGAAAAAAATTATATATTTATATACAAAGGACGAGGGTAGGTTATTTTTTTTATATTATGCTTCTTATAAGTTTACTTAGCAAAATTATAGCTTAGAATTTTATTTTTCAGGTGTCATTCTAAAGTTGGGATGATGGGAGGACGACAACAACTCAGTCTGGGTACTGGTTGCTTAAATAAAGGTATACTCTTTCACGAGCTATGTCACGCTCTCGGATTTTATNTCAAACTAAGCAAATTATTGGTTGTAATGGACTCTTATGGTATGGCGAAAGCAATGACAAATTCTTTCTATTATTCTTGTAGTGTGGCTTTTGCTGTCACGTCGGGTAAAGTTACAAACTTTCCACCACTTCCATATATTAAACATAAGTTATATGTAACATTTTAGGTGAAATCATTAAACTATGGAAATTACACAAGATGATTTTTATTTACCTTCCAATTTACACAGTTATATTTAGAACTGCTTTTAAAAATTCTGTATAATGCCAATAAACAAAATGATGTATATCATGATTACATTTTCTAGATCTGATGCATATTCTGTATTTCAACTGGTTTTTTGTAAAAAGGCAATAATTTAGAAAAAATATTTTTTCAAAAATAAATTAGATAAAATAATCCTTTCCAAAGTACAGTCTTATTATTTCTTTAGATTTTTAAACAAATACTTTTTCCTTTTTAAATTAGAAATCAGAAAGAAACTAATTACTATTTGTCATCAAATTTTCTTTTAATTACAAAGGCTGTAATGTCTTCAATTTCTTTTTCGAAAAATACAAATCCAAGATATTTTTTCTAAATCATTTTTTTACCATATATTAGATTAAATGCACAGAATACTTACTATTATTTAATTACTGGTTGCATAAAAATCTAAAATATTAATCCTATTATAAAACAAAAATTTGTTAAAATTCTGATAAATATTTACTCTTTTGAAACAAAAATCAAATGTAATTTTGTTAAATTAATTTACTGAAGTTACATTAATTAATAGTAATAATAATGATTTAACATTTTAAAAGAAATTTTCAAATATAATTTTATCTTTTGGTAACATTTAGTACATTTTTCTATTGGTGCATAATGCTCATTTTACCTGAATTGCAAGCTTAAATACTGATGATAAATTAAAATTATATTAGTTTGTTAAGTTTCATATTAATAAATGCTAAAAAAAAAATAATAAAATAAAATAAAGTTACATTAATGAAAACTGAAATATTTCTAACTTTTTCGTTTAAGCATCTGACATTTTACTATTTACATTTTATATCTTGGAATTTATGTAAATGAGAAAAATCAACAATAAAGCCTGGGAATTAAAATGATGACTGTAACCCATGGGTTGCACATGAAACTTAAATGTGTAATCTTTATCATTCCAGAACAGACTGTCAACGTTTCCCGTTATTAAAGGTCATTGTCCTCACTGGTGTTTTAAAATTTACACCAGCTTGTTGTTGAAGTTGATAAGCCAAAGGATGTATCTTGAAGCCATATAATCTAAAAATATATAGATTTAATAAATGTTTTGAAATTATATTTTTACTCAGTTTGTAAATTCATAATCATAAAAAAAAACTATCTATCATCATTTGCTGTTGGCTAATTAAGAAAATTTGTAGTAATTATTATTTAACACCATTAGGTAAAACCTTACCTCGGAACAAATTGATTTGATGGTCGTTTTGGTCTGTAATCTGGATGAACCATGAAAAGCATGTGAGGAAAACCTGTACCAAAGTAAGCACCGTCCGTATGATGGTGACGAGAAGATTTGGGATTATAAACATCCAAACATTTAGGACAATATAATTTAACCATAGCTTCACCAGGTACATCCGATAATCCTAAATTTATTGTTAAGTATATCAATAAAAATTAAATAACGCTAGCAATGCAACAATTTTCTCACTCACTAATAGGTAATTAAAATATTCACTCACCAATAGGTAACATTGGCTGATTTTCGCAATAGACTCTAGGACAATATCCAAAATCACCGTTTTGATATTTTTCAAGCTGGTGTAATATACAATTTATATAGTAAAATATTAATTATTAATCAATATCTTCAAGTTATCAATGACAAAGTTGTAAATTAGCAAAAACAACAATTATCTGAATAAAATATTTAACAAAATTTGTATCCTGGACAAGAAAAAAATGTTATGGAATAAAAATTGTTGAAGCAGTTAGCAAATTAATTTATTGTTTGTTACAAAACAAATTCTTAACTTTATATTATTATAACTACTCTTATATAACTCACAAAAAATGAATATGAATAATGGAAATTGTAAAGAAAAATAAAAACTTTCACACTCAAACAAACAACACTAATATTAGAATAATTTATTATTTTAGTTTTTAATATATAATCTATTAGTTTTGCTACAGAGTGACCATAAAGGCTGGAAAATGTCTGTATTAATAAGTGTGTATTAATGCACTGCATTCATTGCAAATTTGCATAGTGCATTAAGTATATCATGCATTGCTGACATGGAATAACACTGATATTATTTATTGTAATATAATATAATCAATAAACCATTTATTATGTGTATTCACTTATTTCCAGACTTTTTGGCTAATCTGTAGATCTGTAGTTTGGCTAATTTATCAGATAAAATCAAATTATAAAATCAATATCAAATGAACCATTATATTTAAAGCAGCTTATGAGATGTAAAAATGCATGAAACTTATTGAATTATATTTAATATCAAATGCATAATCCATTTTAAAAAGTTTTTGCTTTTTATAAAATACAGAAATAGATACATTTATTAGTTAAGGATTCATTTGATTCTTTACTGCAGATAATATTAAATATATATATTGTGTTTTAGTGATTATTTTATCAAGTCGTATCTGACTCTTAGTCTGCCTGCATGCCTCTGTATTTACACTCAACCAAATGGCACTTTATTCTTCATGTTAATTTGTATTACTGATACTTTTGAAGAGCTCTACCTTTGAAAATTTGAAAATCTGGGGACAAAGAAATGGTAATAATTAGTGTGGAAGTGACAGGAATTACCTGTGACTCCACTGGATTGTATTTAAACAAAAATTCTGGATGAAAAGTACTTTCTTTGTTGACGTCAATTGGGATTTGAGACAGTGAAAGGACAGATATGTCTAATTTTGGTTGCACATTTCATCATTAAAAATGAAATAATTTGTAAGGTTAGCATACTCAAAGGTAAGAACTAGCACACATATCGATTTTATTATTGAATAATGTAAAAAGAATTTCATATCCTAAAAAACTCACAAGCTCATAATAAATATGAATATGTTTTGTAATAGCACTCATCTGGCATAAACAATTTTTATCTTGTTAATAATTGAAAGACTTACATGTTAGTAGAAAAACAGTGTGTCCCTCTAAACTGTAAAAAATAAGCTATTAACAAATTGGAATTTGTGCATCATCAAATTGTCTTCTAAAATACTTTCACTGTTCAGTTGCATGCCCCACAGGTTTTACACCCACATTATTAAAATGTTACATTTTAAAGTGCTGATGAATTGAAACACAAATCCTTCTTTTTCTCAAGAACTTCCTAATGGAGATATACTGTTTTTCCATCAATCTTCCTTCAACTGTAGTTATATTGATTGGCAAAACATCTCCAAGTATTATTATATATTGTAATTTTAAATTAAAATTCACAAATAAAACTATTACTTTTTGTAACTTCTGCAGTCCTCTTTTAACTGCACATCTGTATGACCATATCATTATAAGCTATCATTAGTCCTGTATTAATAGGAAAAATATGTTATGATCATCCATAATAACAAAGATTAGTCTTTAATTTGTCATTATCACATAGTCAAATATTATCTCTTTAAAAATACTTATATTAATTGGACATAATCACTGAATATACTGTTATTTCTATACATTGTATACAATCTATAATTATTGACTTGCATTTTTTCAACAGATATAAAAATTTTTCTGGAATGGTCTGTATCAATATATATAACCATAAAATCTGGTAATATAAATATAATAAAATATAACAAATCTGAAAGTTTTTGATGCAGTCTTATTAAGAATTTGATAAGTTTATATCCTCAACTTATTAATATGAATATATCTGTATTAATTTATTATTATAAATGAATGCATAAATAAATCTAAAACACTTAAAATTTTAATGCTTATTGTTATTTATAAATTAAAAATGTAGACAAATTTAGAATCATACCATTTGGGCAATTCCACGATTTGTAAGAATGTATCGAGCATGAATGAGACCATATAACATTTCAGCTGCCTGTTCTATAAGATCACTTTGATTTGGATTGTCTTCAAGTTCATCATCTAAAAATGAAAATCAAAATGTTTTAATCAATCATTCAGGCAAAAATACAGGAGGAAGGTCAAAGTGACAAACAGAAGATGACATTAAACTTTTCTGTAATAGGCAATATTCTCAACCTCTAATGTTTCAACATGTTTCTATTGTAATTAACCATTTAAAAAATTAGATTTTCAAACATAAGATGAATAAAAACAATCCTCTGATTTTATTTGTTGACGTGTTGAGTAATAATTAATGTTATTGCAATACCAGTTAATATAAATATCAAAAAATCCAACTGACAAAACTTATATTTAAATGGGCTAGCTGAAACAAATATTTTAATTCTACATAAATTATAAAATTCTCAAAATATTGTGAGCAACAAAGTTCTTGTGAAGTTGGATATTTATAAAAATTTCTTTTTAATACAGAGACTAAAAATCCATATATTTTGTTAAGGATTTTCAATCTTTATCTTACAAATCTGATATGTTTTTAAAAATGATCTATGATTCCTGTTTTCAGCTTGAGCATTTAGCAGAAGATAGAATAAAAGTGATCAGATTAAAACAGAGGTTGAATTAGCAAGAGTATACTTAAAAAAGAAATATGATCAACACAGGAATAAGAAGTTTAATTTTATTTATAATGCTAACAAAATTACAGTCAATCATTTACAGGATCAATATATCTATACTTTTGACAGTGTCATTCATTGTTTACATTGTTTTGTCAATAAGATCTTCCAATCAGTTAACTCATATAGATTAATGTAAACTAAACTATTGAATTGAAAAGATGTGCAGAAAATTAAAAAATTTTTTTGAAAATATCTTTAAATTTATTAAATGTTTCTTATAATATCAATTCAATGTTGAGAATATCATTTTTTTCACACTTTTTCAATTGTGTTTGTTAATGTATGTTTGATAGTTTCCATCCCCACACTAATAATGGAAAAAAAAAAAAAATGTTTAAAAACATCAATGAAATATAATAATTCAAGTAAAGATTCTTTCTTAATGCATTTTATTTATCTACAGTCAATCAATTCCTGCTCATTACTGCAATGATCTTGTTTGGCTTCTTTATTTGATTAAAGCAATTAGTTAATCCAGTGATTATTTCTGTCTTACGTAGTTATAAACTGCATTATCAAAACATATAAAATATTCTTTAAACAGCTTATTAATTTTTTATCTGTTATTTTGAATTGAAATCAATAATAAAGAAAAGCATCATTTAAACCACAAATATAAGTATGATTTATAATTTTTAGTTAATAATAACTAGATACATACTTTTACCTTTATCGGGAAAACATGATACATTAGAGCATTAATGATAAAAATCTGATAGAGAATTAGGTAACTAATCAAAAATTCAGTTAGTTCACAAACAAGTTTTAGTTTTTATTCTATAAACAAATAAAAACGATTATTATATATGTTAAAAAAAATACATACAAGGTCAAACAATTTACTTAAAATATAGTAAACCTCTGCTAATTTTGGACTTTGCATAACTGACAAATTTTTTCAAAACAGTAATTTAAAATTTCTTGACAAAATTAGAAAAATTATAATTAATGAGTGTTTTTGGTATCTGGAAATCCTTGTAATACTGTGTAAATTATTATAGTTAATAAGTTACAAAAGACTGTACATTGCTTACATTGTACTGTCATGAAATATTTTGAGCTCATTTCTTATAATAATAAATTCAGCAGTGTAATCTCAGCTCAGTGAAACTTCTGTATAGAGCTGATTGTAATAAATAACTGTCCTGTATATCCACTTTGTTATTTTCCACATTATTGGGGTTCCCACTAACTTGGAATTTCATAAACTCAAACAACCTTCACCTCCTATTAGTCTAAGTTGGCAGGGGTTTACTATAATATTGTTGTTATAAAATAAATGTATAAAATTACACAATAATTTTTCACACAACTTATTACTATTCCACAGAAGACTTAATAATTACAGATATAGAAAAGAAAAAAATTTTTTTGTTCAAAAAATACATTTCTAATAGTTAAAAAATCTAATCAACTTTCTTTAAATATATTTTTATAAAATTTTACACACCTGGTTCTAAATCTAAAATCATATCTAGAGCTTGTCTGTAATGCGGAACTTGCTCGCTAAGTCCTGTCAAATTAAATTTATCTTGAATGTAATCTTCATCAACCTACGAAAAAAAAATGTTCTCTTTTAAGATCAAATAATAATTAATAGAATGTTTGTTTGTTATAAAAATTATATTATATATATAAAATAAAATTTTATGACGAAAATATATAATAAAAGAATAATATGTAATTTATCGTGACTAACTGGAATAGTATTGATAAATGTTGTACTAACTGAAACATATAATAAATGCTAATTAATGCAAAAACGAAAAATAGTTGATTAAAAAAAATACGTATTTAATTCTATGATGTTATATTAAAATATTAAATAATTTTAATATTTTGTTTTTTAAATATCTTTAATATTTGATGGCTGAATGGCTACAGTAGTGAAGCATCAGCCTACCACTCGGGAGCACAAGATCAAATCTGGGTGTGCAAGTCCAGGAATTTTTCACGGCAGTCTGGTTTTAGATATGTCAAGCCCAATCTCTTTCCGTTTGGTCACCCCCATTGTGAGCCTGTCTGAATCTATAATGGCTACAGTAAAAACACTTTCTCAGTGTGCACAGATCAAAGTTAAAAGTATATATACATATCTTTATTATTATTTAGCTAAAAATGCAGATTTTACAGAGACATTTTCTTATAAAAATTTTTTACTCATCCTCTTCAGATAATTCGCAGCTTTTACTTGAGAAGAAACTGAATGATAGTCTGAAGAATGTTTTCTGGTAAATATATCACTTTGATTTTTTATGACTTATTCTCTTCATATAATTTAAATAATGAATTAATTATACTTCTACAATATCTATTTTTATTTTAAATGAATTATGGAATTTTGCCAGTTCATTTATTGCATTTTTTTATAAGTTAAATTTTCCAGAAAAGAATATATTTATTGGAATGTTAAAGTTGATATTTATCTCTCTCAATAAAATATATTCAGGAATATAACTATGCACAATGAAAGAAGAAATATAATTGACATTCTTCAAAATAAATTTAAAAAATTAGACAAAACAACAATAACTGTTCTTTGTTTAAAGTTTATAAATATTAATGTGAAAGTACTATTAATAGTCTGACAAAATAGTTCTACAGTAAATAGCTTTAAGCATTAGAAAAAAAATCAAATGCCACATTATTATAGAAATCAAATTTATTAATGGCATCATTTATTATTTGTACAGTAATCTTAAATAATGATAAATTATATATAACTAGTAGCCCTGGACACTTGCTAGTGGGCATTCTAGCAGCAGTGGTATAAATAATAAAATTCATATAAATAATAAATTCCTATTACAAATAAAAATAATAATATATACTGTTAATAAATAAATTATACAGTCGACCCCCCTATAACGCTGTTGATTATTCCATTTTATATGAATTTCATGTTGTACGAGTCACTTAGATTTCACAAATATGTGAACTGGGATGTGAACAGCTCACATATTTGTAAAATCTAACCGACTCCTACAACATGAAATTCATATAAAATGGAATAATCAACCGTGTTATAGGGAGTCGACTGTACTATTAATTTAAATAATAGCTGAAAATCATCGCTAGGGACATCTCCTAGTACACATTCTAGGCATTCCGTGACATGACAGCTATACAAACAGTGGGATCAATGGCTTATATAAGTAGATTGACTTATTTTAATGATTTCTAATTAAATTACAGTCGACCCCCCTATAAGATAGAGATACGTTCCATTCTCTAGGAATCCGCTTTCTTACGAATCCTTCCAATCACAACCCGACACGTGTCAAGTTTACGGACTACGGCTGTTTGAAAGATTTTCTTCCATAAAATTAATCGATTCTAGACTAATCCGACTCAACATTTCCAAAATACGTATATATTTTTTGGGAATAATCCGTATAAACTACGCTATAAACAAAAAATTGTAGGATTACTTACCGAGTGTCACCATTCGACATTGCCATTGCTCAACATTGTTTTCGTCGCGGAACAGCTCAGCAAAGAGCGGCCGATTTCTAACAACTTATTTTTCTGTGAAAACTTCGTAGAACTTCGGAGACATCATTAATATAAATAATTTTAATCGCCGTTGAATAAGAAATGTTTCTTTCACAAGAAATGTATAAAATTACAGTACTGTATTAGACTTACGGTACCTAATTTACATACTGACAGACGATAGTTAGCGTAAAAATCTCCGTAGCGTGGCGCCACGCTAGACGGCGGAAATTATATATTTAATTATAACAAAGTTACAATAAGTTAATATATAATTATATATACAGTACCTAATTTATATATAATTAATATATAATTATATGTACAGTACCTAATTTATATATAATTTATATAATACTGTCCAGACGATAGAAATCTCTCCGTAGCGTGGCGCTACGGACGGCGGGAAAGTAGTTCGGCTTCCCGATGACGTTTGAGGTGTTTATAGGGAACTTTTACTATTTTTTACGGATACTGGTAGCAATTTTTTCGTAGTTTTATAGGAATCGTAACTATAGGGACCGTAATTATAGGGGGGTCGACTGTATTAAAAATAATTACAATACTATAAAATAACTGTCAAGCAAAGATTCAGAATATTTTCAGGACCCAAAATTTCGCTGAAAATTATTTCATATTAGATCACAAAATAAAAACAATAATTATTATTACGTAGTTTGAAAAATTCAAATTAAATCATACAAATAGTCAAATAAGCCTATCATATAATTTGCTGCAACACTAAGCTAATAAATTAATGCAAAAGGTTTTAAAATTAAAAGAATGATTTAATCCAAGCATGTGTCACCATCATAGGATAACATACAAGATTATAAACTCAATATATTATGTTGATTAATAGAAATAAAATTGAATTTGTCACCATAAACAATCTATTTTCTATATGGGGCACTAATTAATGGTATTTTTGATGTCCAAAAATGCAAAACTTATTTAGGACGATGAGTCATACAATTCTTTTTTTAAAATATTTAAGAAATAAACCAATTTTTTGCAAAAAGATAAACTTTTTTAGAATTTTTGACTGACTATCATTATTTTTTACTTATGTTTTTAAAAATGTAACTATATTTTGATATTAATATTTTTTTATCTTATAATAAATCTACAAAAAACTATAAAAAATAAAAGAAAATAATGCTTATAAAATGATGATAAGACATATATTTTGCTATTTAATTGTGACAATTCAAAAAAAGTTTTTAAATGAAGATTATTCATTTATAAATTTTCTGCGCAAGGAACAAGTGACTATTTTGTTTTAATTTGAGCTGACAAAATTTCACTCATGAAATAGTGTTGAAAAAACTTAAAGTAAAAATGGATTTTATTTTTCAGTTTGTGTTTTATAGAAATTGAAATTGTGGTTCACTAAGCAAGCCCGAGTTGTCCTTACTGCAAGTGCACAACTACAGTAATAACTCGACTTAATCTCGTCGATTCATCTTTTGTTTGAGTGTTACACAACTCTTGATTACTCACCCCCCCACACTATTGTTCAGCTTACATGTTCGGGCGTGTCGAGCGGAATCGACGCATAGCTACAATTTATTTTGTGTTATTTATTTCTGTGTTTGTTATATCTACGGAGACTCGAGAGACTCTATGTGATGATTTCTTGTAACTGTGAATGAATCAAAAGACGAGATAAGATTAATGAGAACATTTATTAGCTTACATACATCCGACTTGGATTTTACACAAATTGCGAAATTATACCCCAACTTACGCGGTTATCGCTCGGTCTCACCTATTGATTAAGTTCAGGGTATTACTGTATATAAGTAGGCAACAATGTAACAAATAACTGAACTGATCAGAAAAAAGTAAATAATGTTTAAATTTCACTTTTAAAACATGCTACTTCACTTTTTGCAGCTTTTGTCATATTACTTTTTCTTCCACAAATTTCTCTGAAACTGAGCCACTTATGTGATCAGACATACTTTGCACCTCTACTGTCAAGTTATTAAGTAAAGTTCTATACTAACAGTTTATAATTACAGGTATACCTCGCCTTATGTCGGTAATTGGTTCCAGGAGAGGTGACGTAAGTCGAATTTACTTGTCTCCGAATCTACTTGTCACTAGGCTAAACCATAAATTACCATTCCCGGTTCTGTGTTTTATTTATTAATGCATTTTTAATAATATATGGTTAATAAGGATCTATTTTAAGCTTACAAACAAATAAATTTTAGTTTTTAATATAGTACAGAAAAAAGTAATCTAAATTTACGAATGCATGTACTGTAAATATAGTACATACTTATAAATGTATATATTTTAATATGATTTTATGTGCTTTAAATGCTTTTCTAGTGATATTACGACTTCAATATTTGTAGCGGACAGACGTAAAGTCAAATAAAATCACTTAAACTTGATTTTTATTTTTCCATATTTTGTTGTTAAGTTCCATCAAGTCGTTGTCGACTCCTGGTGACTGCATGGACAAGTCTTTTCTTGTCCATGTAGTTTTCTTGGCAAGAGTTGAGGAAGTGGTTTGCCATTGCCTTCTTCCTTGAATGATGTGTCACGCGCGCGTGGGGAAAGAATGCCTTCCGGGAGGACTTTTATGGGGAACTGGCCTCCTATTTAGTCGTTATTGGCAAGGAGAAAACCCGGAAAACTCCAAGCAGCCAGCCTGTCCGATCGCGGCACGAACCCACGACCGAACTTCCCAGTGTTTAGGGTCCAGTCACCCCCGCTATGAGCGGCAACGGAGACCACTCGGCCACTGGTGGGCCATTTTTTCCATATACTTTTTTGACAAACGATGTAAGTTGAGGTATACCTGTACTGTGATTGTGTTATATATTTAGAAATTGTTTAATATTTAAAAATATCTATTCCAAAATAAAACCTTAGTAGTACTGAAATTCATAATAAAATCAAGCAAATTTTAAATCATATATACTTACTTCACAAAAGAATTCATTACCCCGAAGACCACAAAACCAAGAAATCCATGAGACTTCCTCTGATGAACTCATCTCAATTATTTAATTTTCACAGTTCCTAACAGTAATAGAAAATTATCATTAATCAAATTTTTTCCCTATTCAAGCTTTTTGGTTAAATAATATACACTTTATTTCTTATCATTTAAGACATAACCCTATTTTATCAAAGATTATTTAAAGTAAAAATATTTTTTAATTAAAACATAAAATTCTAATTTAGAATTCAGTATATATACTATTTTTCCTTCAAAGAAGCATTTTACTTAAGGTTAAGATTTATATATAAAAATAAACATAATAAAACACTAGCAAACATTTTACTTCAATGCAGCATAATTAAATGCCGTATCACTTTACATTCCAATATAGAATGTAAAATGATATGGAACTGATGCAGACCTATCACTAGGTCAAAAACATTTGTCTGCATTGAATTAAAGTAATAACCTATAATCAAATTATTTTATTCCAATTCGTCTAGAACCACTATGTCAAAATTACAATACTAGTGTTATTATCTGTAACCTATTACTGTACATCCACTTTTTGTTCATTACTTTATTAGATATAAGATGATTTTTTAAAATGAATATTTTGGAAAAAAAATCTGTTTTGTACAGTAGGATACACAGTAATATATAATATATTAAGTGCAGTGAATATGATGCTAATTCTTAACTTTCTAATCATTTTAATCAAAACACACAATGTGTAATTTAATTTTGGTTACTATAAATAATTTTCTATCTTAAAATTGATAGTGATTAACAAAATCATCAAATTGATAAATCATTTAAGATATGAATTTTAAACAAAAAATAAGGCCATTTATTATCTATTAATACTGGATTACTATGCAGAAGTTTAATATAGAAATAAGAATAAAAGCAAATTAAATTTAAGCATTTTATTTAATTATTTCAGAAACATTCCTGAAAATAAAACTGTTTAATTTCTATTTCTATTCTATTCTATTAAGACATTCATAGTTCCATTCTATTGTGAGAGCAAATTTGGTGAAGAATTTTTTGTTCGATTTAGTTTTTTGTTAAAGTTGTTTTGCTAAACTCAAAGATAATTAAACTGTTTCCCACAGAATTATTTCCTTGTTGAAGATGATACATCAAATATGTCACCTGGAATCAACGAGTGAAAATGTGACTATTGGCCCTGATGTACTAAACCTCCTAACGAAGTCATGGGAAAAACCCAGGAGGAGCCCCCTAATAAAAGGGAGGGGGTGACAACAAGCTGGAGCAGTCGTCATCAGCCCATTTTTTCTTAAATGTGTGTACTGAACCGTCATTTTAGCTGTTGCCACTCACCGCCACCCAAGAAGTCGAAAAAAAGAAAGGGAGGGAAAAAAAGGATTACCCTTCAAACTGAGTTGCTGATCTTTTCTCGATTTGTGCATCGATATGACTAGGACTCACGAGTATTTTAAGGTATTTATCATCTCGCAAACTTATTGTAAGCTCTCTCTCTCGGTCAGGGTTGCATTAGGTTTACCTCTCTCTGTCCCTCTTCTTTTAGCAATTGTGCTAAGCGTCTACGATACATTTTAGCAATTGTGCTAGCTTCTGAAATGATCAAAACCTTGTAAATGATATACCGTAGAACTTTTAAATAATATCTATCAATATATGGATATTTTTGTTAAATGTTAAGGTGTGGAGTGTACTTCTTCCGGTTGTTTCCATCCGCCTCCATTCTGAGTCCGGAAGCCCACAAATGTGACCGCTCATGTGAGAAATAATGTAATGGCCATCAAGATTTCTGTGTCTTGTAGACACAGTGGTGTCAGTCCTGACAAGGTGTGAAGGAGGTACTGACTCTGCAGTCACACTATCATGAATGTCAAATTTACATTATAAAATAATATAGTATTCAAGAAATTATCAATTTTGCTTTTTTATTATAAAATATCTGCAAGACCATATCAAAACTCGGTAAACTGTTAAAATACAGTATACTCTCACTAATATGGATATTTCTTGACACTGCACAATTCAATGCATCCCATCCAGGATTACTAGATTGAACAATTTATCACAAATTGGGCAATGTTTCAGGCAGTTTTTCATGTTAGTAAACAGAGTATTTTTTACAATCTTACACTCAGGTTGCCTATATCTGTTTAGTATTAGAAATCAATATGTACTTCTTGCAATATTTTTATATTTTATTAAGTATTTACTATAATATAAAATAAAAGTTTAGTATTCAACTTAGTATATAACATACTGTAATACTTTATGGACATATATGTATATTCTTGCTAATCCCAGACATCTCCGTGAAAAAAATTGTCCAGATAAACAATAGTATGTTGTAGTGCAGGTGAAACCACACCCTACACTACAACATACCAGGCGTGCTTATGGTGCTGCAGTACTCTTTTGATACTAAAGCAATCAGTTTTGTTACTTGAAAATAAATATAATAATGCATATTGTGACTTTAATTAGGTTATTAAAGTAATTCTATGGAAAGTAAGTAACATTTTCCAAAAACAATAGGAGGGCATATTAGTCCCCTGAATCTGCCTTGAGCAGCACCTATATTCTGAAAATCCTAAATATTCCACTGTTGTACTGAGAAATATTATATTTTATTAAAAAATTGAATTTTAATGATTCTTACCTAATACCAATTCACCAATATATAACCAGAAAAATTTCTAAATTTATTGTCAACAATCTTTTTTGAGAAATAATTTTTAAAAAACATATGAGTAATGAAAAATAAGTAAAACTATAAATACAAAAAGTGATAAAAACCTTAAATTAAACAATAACTACATATTTATCAATACATCAACACAAGTATTTATAGAGACAATCAATGCAAAACAAAAAAAAAATTTAATGCAATAAAAAAATTTAAATGTTTGCTAATCTATCTTGGATATAACAACATATCAATACTAATATTGTTGGTTGTATGTATTGGAAGTATCCGAGCAATGAGAGAAAGCCCTTGCGACTAGGAACCGGGCCCTAGTCGCAAGGACTTTTTCTCTCATTGCTCGGATACTTCCGATACATACAACAAACTGAAACGCGTCAAGTCTATAGCATCTGCACATGGGTACCACTAATACTGTTGTATTAGTATTTACATAATTCTGAAATAAAACGAACCAATGATTTGTTCCAAAGTTTATATTTGAAAATGAGAAATATAAAGTAATTTCACTTCATCCAAAGCACGTACAAATGCCAAACCTGTCTAATATTTACCAGAAGTAACATTTAGTATTCCAGTCTATTTTACCCAGTTCAAGTTAAAAATTTCAGCCATTTAATAGCTATATTTAGATTTTCAAACAAAGTAACTATCATGAAATAAAAGTTTAAAAACATTTGAATAGGTTACAAAATTAGAGTCATATATTAGAAAATTAAATTATATATAAAATATGACAAATGATAAAAATTATATGTAACTCTATAAGCTAGATAAACAGATGTTAAAGTATTCTCCATGAAAATTATTATAAATGTATACAATCCAATTTTTTTCAAGTAAGTTTAAATTACTTGTGTTTGGATTAACATCATTAGTTTAGAGCAGCATATTTGTAGTACAGAGTATTTGTTAGCTCATTTGTATGAAATAAATTAAATTTTTGAATTACTCCTTAAATTCTTTGAGTATCTTAAATTTATTCTACTGATATTAATACAAACTAAAAACAACTCATACCAATGCTTTAATAAGAATAAGAATGAAAATTCTCCACTGTAGTGGTCAATGTCAAAACAGCAAAGTTCAGGAAAGAGGTGGAAATCACTCAGTGTTAAATCAGGGCTATATGTTGGGTGTTTAAAGGTGGTAAAGACTACCACCCAGCTTGGAACTTTTTTTAATGTGTGAAGACTTCCACCTCTTTCCTGAATTGAAAACGTGGCTAGGAGGGCAAAGGTTTGAGACTAATGATGATTTTCAAAACAATGCCGTTAAGGCCATTTCAATTCACTGGTGGCAACATTCTATGAAGACGGGATAGAAAAGCTCATCCACAGATATGACAAACACCTCAATGTTTACAGTGATTATGTCAAAAAGTAACCATGTTTGTACCTAACTTTCGGTAAAAATTCATTTTGTTATTTACACTTCTTTTTGTTTTATGGACCAAAAAAAATGCCCTCATACATTAATGAAGCTTAGGGAGCTGCATATCAGGACCTCACAGACAGTACCGTATCTAGCCGTTCCTGTGCCCTGTGCAAGAATTCGCATTTAGGCCCCTTAATTAATTAGGTTTGGGAAAATAAACCAAATACATGCATTTCAAGCCTTCGTTTCAACTGGGCCCTGTGCGGGTGCACCTGTTGCACCTGCCTAGTTACGGCACTGCTCACAGATAATATGTTGCTTATGACTGATTTATAGCATTTCTTACCTGAAGTTGGATTAACTGCTTAAAAGCATTTGCAAGAATTTTCATTTTTATTCTAATTTTACTCCATTCAAGCATTGTTGTCATCTTTGAGCATTGATAAACAGGAGGAAAAAAATATAAAATGAAGGAAAAATCAAATAAATGTCTCATGAAAAATGCACTTCTAGAAATATAAAACAAGGTAATCTATCTACTGAATATTCTGATTAACTAATAAATAATAAAATAATTAAATGAAATTCATTTCTCTCTTATTTTATTTTGTACAAATTTTCAGAAAGTTTACTTTGATTAAAAAACAAAACCATATAATCTTGTTGTTAAATATATTGAAAATAAAATGCGAAAAAACGTACTGTTAACCTTTAAATTATCAATGAAATATAGGGAGTCAAATAATAACCTTTATTAACTAACAACTTTCAAAAAATACTTCATCTTTAGAATTATCTGATTTATAATAAATGGGTTTCAATTTTTGAATTCTATTTTTTTATTTTTTTTTTTAAATTAGTTTAAATTTCATGCTTCAAATACAGTTCAATGATGATTCTAACAGTCTTAAAACCATTGTCTAAAAACTGATTAAACTTATTAGTTCACAATATATTTTTTTGCTTTTGTTTAATGCTATAAACTTTTCC